TTTCTGCAGAACAGAGATGAGAAAGGCAAGATCAAAGCACTGGGACACATCTTCTGTGCCTACCCAGTGAAGAACTACAGCTTCTTCTGCCTCATAGCTGTAAAAATATTGTATTATTTTCTGGAGTGGCCCCATCCTCCATCTTCTCCAGGCTAAGACTCTCTCAAACTGCTTCTGAAGGATTGTATTGAAGTCAGTCTCTGGTGCTCTGTCATAGATGACTTGAGGTTCTGGTAGATCAGCAGTGATGGGCAAGTCTGGTACAGAAGAGGGTTGTGCAACAAGTTCAGGTTCCCCCTGAGTTTCTGATCCCTTTGCAGGTGAAACTGCTTTCTTCTTCTTTTTCTTCATGGGTTGGAGACCAAAGTTGTCAGAGTCCTCACTCTGAACAACTATCTTCCTTCTCCTTTTCATCTTCTGCTTCTTAGCAGGAGAAGATCTGATTTGCTTTGTGGGAGCCAACTCTGATGTGCCCATCTCTGGTGCATCCATTTCTGGTAAAATCCTCCTGTCATTCTTCTTCTTCTTCCTGACATCCCTTGCAACCTACGACTGCTCAGGTTGTTCTGAAGCCACAGTGGGATTCTTGGAGGTCTTCCTGGGAACAGGTTTGGGTTTCACAGCCTGTTGTTCCCTCTTTTTCTCTAGCCTTTCCTCTCTTTTCAACTCAGCAGAGATGGCTATATTCAGCTTAGGAGATGCAGTGAGGAAGATGGTTTTGGAGTGGTCAACTGGGGAAGGGTCCCTGAGTTGAACTCCATGGGCAGTGAGGATGGCAGATAGAAGAAGGCCATGGCCCATCTTGGCAGATAGAACCGAAGATTTCCTCGCCCCAGTTTACATTCATGCCATGGTGAACAACAAAGATTGCTTTGCAGTTGGCTTTGTTGATTTCATCAATTAAGCCAGTTTTGCACCACAAGCACATGTGCAAGATGCTGACCAACTTCTCATAGTCCTTCTTCAGTAATAACTTCTTCATGTACAGCTTGTCTAGGTTGGCGGCCTCAGGGCGGCAGTAGGTCTGTACAAAAGCTTCTATAGAGACCTCCACTAACTCCAGGTCAATGAGAGAAGGAGTTTCAGGATCTTGAGAGTCCAGTTGTACTCCAAAGAATTCGTTGAGGGCATCTGCATTCAAAGTGATGCTTTTTCCCTGCACCTGGGAGTGAACTCCGTTCTTGGTAATGGTTGCGTTCAGGTAAAACTCAGCCACATCCTTTGTGCTGAACTGTTCGTAAGGATGAGCAACGATCTTGCTCAGTTGAGATTCATTCATCCCCTGGATGATTTTTGCCATCCGTTTCTGGTTCTCTGCTAGTAGCGGTAGAGCTGACATGTCCACCTTCATGCCAGTCACAATGTTGGCAACAATAGCCTTGGCTTCCTCCTTAGTGAGGTCGTTGATGTTGATGAAGTTCATTTTCTGAAAGTTTTTTGAAAGATTCTGGAGATTTAGGAGTTCTGAAAGGGTTGAAGGTTTGAGAGCAAATATACGTTTAGAGAGATGAAGTAGCAATAGCGGTTTAGGTTGAAGAAGGTGGGTATAAAAGGTTTTGGGTTAGTGGACGTTTGGGATTATTTATGGTTTCGAGGAAGCATTTAAAGAAATGCGGACGGAAAACGTTTCCGTTAAAGAAATAAAAAATCAGGGGTAATCTGGTAAAAGACCTGTTCAAGTTAAAAGGTTTTGCTCGTTCCTCGAAAAATAACTAAGTCCACAAGGATCTCTGATAGACTTTAGATAAGGATCCCTGTATCAGAGAGTGTGGTTCTCTGATGAAAGGTACTCTGGTGATCAGAGATGGAGATACTCTGATGTAAGGTTCTCTGTTCGTTCTGGTCCACATCAACTCTGGTTCATGCATCTCTGGGAAGATCATCCATCATTCCCAGTTCTTCCCTTAGCTTGTTAAACCTTGCCTCTGGTAAAGGCTTGGTTAGAATATCCGCTAGCTGATCTTCTGTAGGTACATGCTCCATACAGATATGCTTCTTCTCCACATGATCTCTGATGAAGTGATGTATGATCTCAATGTGCTTTGTCCTGGAATGAAGCACTGGATTCTGAGTGATTGCAATGGCACTGGTGTTGTCACAGAGCAGCTTGATCTCCTTTGCTTGAATGCCATAATCCGCTACAAAGCCTGATCAAGAAAAGTTCAATTTGATAACAATTTGATATATAAAGTAAAAGATTAGGAGTGACCTAAGTTGACCAATGAATAGTAAATGGGAACATTCCAACGGGACGAAGGGAGTATATAATAAATAAAAAAGCTGCAGAGTTGTAGGGGCTCAAGACCCCCCAAGCCCCTTGGTGGTTCTGCCACTGGCGACAGCAGCGACAGTCATCTGACAGCAGCGACAGTCGTCTACGCTCCAGTCATCTGACAGCAGCGACAGTCGTCTACGCTCCAGTCATATGCACTCCTTCATTTCTTTCTTCTCCCTTCTTTTTTCTTATACTAAAATTATAAAAGTACATGAACTTATTTTCCAAGTGGAGTTAAAATACATGTGTCAAATATACAGAATTGTGCCTTATGTCAGGCCGGAGAGACTTGCGCCTCAGAGCCCCAAAGTTTGTAAAAATTAGGGGGCCAAAATTTTATATATATTAGTATTATACATATGTATGTTCTAGTTATTTTTTATTTTTCCCCTTGGGCAATCCGACTTCTATTTCTAGGTTTCTAGGCTTCAGGTTCTACAGTTAATTCTATTAGTCTATGTTTTTTTTATTTTCTTATTTAGTTATTTGTTTGTATTTTCAGAAATTTTCTAACTTTATATTGATTTGGTGAATACTAATGTGATGTATAATTAATTTGTCATGTGTGAATCTCAAATGGCTAATTTGTCAATTTTTAAATTTGAGTTAATTCTTGCTTGTTTTTTATTTGGTGTTATCAATATTGCAATTATAGAATTCTCAATTCACAATTAATTAAATTAAATGCTTTGTATTTTATAGAAAAAATTACTACTCTCTTCATCCCTTATAATTTTGCCAACTTTTCTTTTTTGGATGTCCCACTAATTTTGTCACTTTCCCTTTTAAGTAAAGAATCCGTGGTTCCAGTTCATTCTCTCGCCCCTGCACACACCTCAACCACACAGTTTTTACTATATTATTCCCCGTGCCGGTCAGGTTTGGCAAAGTTATTAGGAACGGAGGGAGTACTTCATAATATATATTGTTAATGATTCCAATACATGTATTTATTTATTTTTTAGTACAATGCCTCTCAAATCCTTGTCTCGGTTTCAAAAGAGGAAAAGAAAATCACGTATTGAATCATTAACTCAGACTCAAGCCAGAAACATTAATAAGTACGTAGTACTTGATTTCGAATAGAAGAGCCACTTCGGAGAGTATATCTTCAACCATGTCTCAAAAAAGGTTGACTGAATTAGTTATGTTTATCAATTGAGAAGGAATTCATTGATAATATAGATTATGCAGACTTGATTAATGCATTTGCATCTAAAAATGTTCAACGAGTTGTACTTATTTAGTTTTTTAATACATCCAATGTCATTTTGCTATAATGTAAGATTTTAATGACTCTATATAACCGAAAAATTATGTATAGGGCCCATTTATGAAACTCGACTCAGGCCCAAATTTATGTAGGATTGACACTGCAAATATAGATGGACAACTTAAGAAAAATGATTTGTTAATTTTTAGTTTAAACTTGTTAATAAATGAAAAGGTTAAGAAATATGAGATTTTTTATAAAATTAACTACTATGTTTAAAGTACATTTCAAAAATTACTACGTATCATATTTTAGTTGAACATGTGTTAAAATACTGCAAAATTAAAATACGGATGTAAATGTTAGGTGTTAGACTAACAGAAAATTTGACTATATTAGTTTAGTTCTATTTTACTGTAAAATGTGGCTTTGATACATCAACAGATCAACTTCATTACGCTTGTAAACTACCACAAGATTTGTATGTAGTATTATATCGTAATTTCCATTAGCTTAACACTACAAAAAAACTCGCCCTTTGTCACGGATTTTGTCACGGACCGTAGTTCAAAAAATCCGTGATAATTATTTTTTGTCATGGATTTGTCACGGAAAAAATCCGTGACACCATGGGCGTGATAACGTTTTTGTCACGGAATTTAATCCGTGAGACCGTTTGTCACGGATTTATCACGGCCACCGTCCGTGACAAAACACTTCACCGGAACTCCCTCGCCTTTTATTTGTCACGGCCACATTCGTGAATAAATTTTTTTATTTTTCAAAAATAAAATAATTATTTGTCACGGAAATATCCGTGACAAATTAAAAAAAAAGGTTTTCGAAATAGAGTGAGCGGGTATTTGAAATGATCTGAAAAATTCAAATTTTTAATGTTGTCACGGACATATCCGTGACAAAAGATTTTGAAAAAAATTTGAAAAATTTCGAAACAGGTGGGCGGGTACTTTAAAATTTTCAAAAAAAAAATTCAAAATTTTGAACTTGTCACGGATCTCATCCGTGACAAAACATTTTTTTAAAAAAAAATACGTTATTTTCTTAAAAGTTTTAATACGTTATTTTCTCAAAAAATACGTTTTTTGAACTTGTCACGGATCTCATCCTTGACAAAAGTTTTAATTTTTTAAAAAAAATTAAAAATTCAGCGCATTATTTTTTTGAATGTTTATTTCAAAAGTTTATTTAATAAATAATAACCATTAAAATTTAGGCGCTTTTTAAAAAATTTAAACTTAATAAACATTGTTTATAATAAATAGTTAAACAATCATCATTAATCTTAATAAATAATTGTTTATAATAAATAATTAAACAATCATCATTAATCATCATTAATCACCATTAAACATTATTTATCATAATAAATAATAAATCAATCAAACCATCATTATATAACACAAATAATTAATATTCATAAAGTAACCATCAAAATTTAAAAATACTTAAAATGTCAATAAACTAGTTATTACAAATCATCAATGGTCATCATAATCATCATCATCATCATCATTAGGTTCCTCACGATGATCGGGTTGCCTTCCGTGACCACGGCTGCCGCCACGATGGCTGCCTCGACTGCCACCACGGCTGCCAGCCCGGCTGCTGCCACGGTATGCTTGAGCTCCGGGAGTCGATAAAGGGGTATCATCATAATATGCATATGGAAAATTGTTGGGGATATGGCTATAATTAGCAAAACCCCTACTGCCCATACTGCCCATATTGCCCATATTGCCCGCGAAGGGAATTTGTGGAGTCATCTCGGGGTGCTGTATGTGCATGGATGGGCGGTAGGTGGCGTTGAACATACGCATTTGTCGTTCCATCTCTTCCAACCTTTCTCTAGTTCTTCTTGCCTCTTCATCCCGTATCCGAGCTTCTTCATCCCGCCTTCGAGCCTCTGCTTCACGTTCCTCCAATAGTTTCTCGAGGCGGGTAACCCGATCATCATACGCCGAATGAGAAGATGAGCTAGCTCCTTTGGACTTCTCCAGGATCCGTAAGCCTTCAGAACCCATAAGCGGCACCCGGCCCTTGTAAACTCCGGTTGCCGCCAAGATGGCCTCATATTCTTGATTTTCATCAAGTTCGGCATCAGAATCACCTAGCTCATCAACTCTCTTCCCCCGCTCTTCCTCATATTTTTTCTACAAATTCAAAAAATTATTATATAAGAGATCAAAAAAATTCAAAATTTATTGAATTATTGAAGTTTCATTATTTACTTCAATTTCAGAAAGGCGGGGAGGCGGCATAGCACCCTTCTTCGTCCAACAATGTGCCATGAGTTTCAATGGCGTGACCCGTTTTTTCACGGGTCCAGATCCTTCCTACACGGATTTCAAAGTTAATAAAAAAATATATACATAAGGGAATGGAATGGAAATAATTTTAACTAATTAGAGTTTACCAGATCTTTTTTATGTTGAATTTGGGGTTTGCGGCCCCCGTTTATAAATGAAATTATGACTAACCTTTCAAATCTGTACATCCAACGATAGAAGACGGGCCCTCCATTCAAAGCCTCATACGGAAGATGTATTAGAAGATGTTCCATTACATCAAAAAATGATGGGGGCAGTATCTTTTTTAGATTACACATCAGAATAGGAACAGTGTCTTCTAGTCTCCTTAGGGATTCGACATCCAAAACGGTGGAACATATCGACTTAAACAATTGACTGATTTCGGTAATACAACCCCAGACGTCTGCAGGAAGCATCTCTTTCAGTGCAATCGGCAGAAGTCGTTGCATGATTACATGAGCATCATGAGTTTTCATGCTCGACGTCATTGTTTGTTTGTCCAGGTCCACGCATCTTGACAGGTTAGAACAATAGCCATCTGGAAAGTTTAGAGAAACAAGCCACTCTAATATTGATTCCCTTTGTGGGGCTGTGAGTTGGTAGACTGCTCTTGGAATTTTTTTACCCACATATTCTAGATCGACGGCGAGTTCGGGTCTGTCGCACCAAATTGTCATGTCTTTTCTAGATGCAAGACCATCTTTGGTTTTGTGGGTAAAATCCATAACCGTGTTAAATATATTGTCAAAAACGTTCTTCTCAACGTGCATGACATCTAAATTGTTACGAATGAGAAGGTCTTTCCAATATGGCAACTCCCAAAATATACTCCTCTTTGGCCACTTATGGGTATCACAATACCCATTTGGCTCCCCGTAGGGTTGCTGCACAGCCGTAGGAAAACGTCAAACCCGGTTAAAAACTTGTTCACCTGTAAGTCTTGGAGGAGGGGGATCTCGTACCACTCTTCCGGCAATAAAAGACTTCTTGTCCTTTCGATATCGATGGTTCATAGGCAGAAACTTGCGGTGACAATCAAAGTAACTTGGTTTCCCGCTAAATTTGAGCCAATTGGCATCTGATTTCTCCATACATATTGGACATCCCATAAGACCGTGTGTGCTCCATCCTAAAAGCATACCATAAGCAGGGAAGTCGCTAATGGTCCAAATGATGGCAGCTTTCATGATAAACATTTGATCTCTTGAAACATCATAAGTTGGTGTCACAATGGCCCAAAGTTCTTTCATTTCCTCGATCAGGGGTTGGAGATAGATGTCTATCCTTTTTTTAGGATCCGAGGGACCTGAACAAATTAAAGTTAAAAAGATGAAATGACTTTTCATGCACATGTCGGGAGGAAGATTATAAGGAGTTAGCATGACTGGCCAACATGAAAATTTCTTCCCAAACTTTCCAAAAGCAGCAAATCCGTCTGAACACAATCCCAGTCGCACATTCCGTGGCTCCATTGCAAACTGAGGATGACAACGGACAAAGTGTCTCCAAGCTTCACAGTCGGAAGGGTGAGACATCAAACTTTCATGTGTTTCGCAGTAGCATTTGAAGCATACATCCTCTTCAAGCGTGGAGCTAGAGGGAGGTAAAACAATTTAGACAATGCAGACTTTTTTCGTGGTTTTTTTCATCTATGAGGAACAGGCTTGTATCTCTCTCCACCGCAGAACTTGCAGCTCTCAAGTACCACATCATCCTTCCAGAACAACATACATCCTTCTAGGCACGCATCAATTTCTATACAAGGAAGCCCCAACTGAGACATTAATTGTTTCATTTTGTAATATGAATCAGGAAGATTATGGTCACGCGGTAACATTCCTCCAAATGACTACAATAACCTAGACATGCAAGATTCAGGGAGACTGTATTCAGATTTAATGTTTATCAACTCTGTAACGATGGATAGCTGAGAGTATCCCTCACAATCAGCATACAGAGGCTGATCGGCAGCTTTTAAAACATCTTGAAATCTTTCAGCTAAGTCTTCAATATGAGGAACATGAGAATTCGGATACTCATCCGCATCAGGCTGATAAAAGGTCGGATCTTCATCCGCATCGGGTTGATACGAGGTCGAAGCTTCGGGAAGATCGTTAAATGGCCGTGGTGGGTTAAACTGAATCGTTGAAGCACCGTATACATCATATGCCATTCTTTGATCCCACGTCATTTGATCATAGTCTCCCCATCCACTCATCTTGGTAGGGACGCTACGAGATGAACCTACTGTTTGTGGTAAAAGTGATGGATCGAAAGGTTCGACATGAGAAGTCCAATTATAATAATTGGCAACGAAACCTTTTTCGTACAAATCCCACACAACTTGGTCGACATCTTTAAATTGAAGATTTTTACACTTTGTACATGGACATCTGATTTTATCGCCATCCATATATTTCTTCTATTCTTGTGCAAATTTAATAAAATCTTCAACACCATTAAAAAATTCACTGCGTATCCATAGTTATCGCGATGTTTTTGGTACATCCAACTTCTGTTTTGTCTATACATTATGCATGTATATATATTATAATCAAAATATTATATAAGTACATTAAGTAACGTTCAATTAATATTATTAATTAACTAAAAGCAGTACATTATTTGTGGTATTAATAATTTGAATTAACCAACTTTTCAATCATGACTAATTCATATTTAGAAACATTAAGCTGGCCGGAATTAATAATTTACTAATATAAAGTTCACTAAAATTAACTAACGTTCAATTAAAATTACTAATTAACTAATAGTAATATGTTAATGGCATTAATCGTTTTAATTATTAACTAATTCACAATATTAGAATTTGTGCACCAAACACACTAAATTATTACGTTAATGGCATTTATTCACAATACTAAAATTATGAAAATCTAATAGTACACATTAAATAATTAACTAACATATAATACTAATTAAAGTTATTACGTTAATGGCATTTATTCACAATACTAAAGTTAACTAATTTAACTTATTAATTAGTTAATTTCCATTTAACTAATATTGTTAAATATCATTAATTCACAATAATATATAATTCACACTTAACTAATAAAGTTTGAATTTCTAACTTAAATCACTACAAATCCTAAATTATGCATTAACAATAATTATTGCTAATAAACAAATTAAACCTAATCATCATCATTGGTTATAAACTCATTTCAATTAACTAATATTTAAATCTAACTAATATTATCAACTCAAATTATCTCATTAATAATTCACAATAATAATTCACACTAAACTAAATAATAATAAAGTTTCAATCCTAGCTATATTATGCATCCCATTAACAATAATTGCTAATAAACAATAATTGGTGATAATAACTTAAGCTAGCTAACTTAATTAAATCACTACAAGTCACTAATTAATTAATCTATAATAAGCTAGCTAATACTTAAATCACTACACATCCTAAATTATGCATTAATAACAATAATTGCTAATAAACAAACCGACCTAATCATTGGTGATATAAACTCATTTCAATTAACTAATTAATATTTATATTTAAATTTAACTAATTAAATTACGTTAATAGTTTAATAATATATTGTTAATAATATGAAAATTAACATGACCTCACTAAATTACGTTAATAGTTTAAATAAATGAACAACTAACCTCACTAATTAAGCTAATAATTAATTTATTACACAATTAAAAGAAATTAGTTAAAATGACATACCTTATCTGCATAAACTGGGAAAATGATGAATTGACGGATTACATCATTCAATCTTTAAACCGATACTACATCACTCGAATCTACGAATTTTTGAACTCATAAGTGTTGTTCTTGCAAATGTAATGGACGATGGGGTTGGGTTAAATAAAAAAATTTGTCACGGATTTGTCACGGATGTATCCATGACAACCCTTTTTTCGTACTGTATTATTAAAGGTTACCGCTGGAAAATCAATAATTGAAGTTTGTCACGGATTTTGTCACGCATGGATCCGTGACAAAGTTATTTTGAAATTTGTCACGGATTTGTCACAGATCTGTCCGTGACAAATGCCCGGGAGCAAAAAAAGTATTCACCGGAGTAAAAAACCGGTCGCCGGAGTAAATTTGTCACGGACAAAATCTGTGACAAAATATTGTCACGGATTTTGTCACGGACCTATCCGTGACAACACATTTTCGTGACAAATCCCAATATTCCGTGACAAAGCCCGTGACAACTTTGTCACGGACGTAATCCGTGACAAAAATCCGTGACAAAAAGTGAGTTTTTTTGTAGTGTAAGTTCTATTGGAAATTTATCGAAAAATACGATTCAAATATTAATTTGTATGGTCTTTAAGCATTTTATAAAGAATTGTTGAGTATTATATTATAGAAATTAGTTCAAATAGGACTAAAACTATGGCAAAAACCTAAAATAGGACTTGCTATGTTTTTATTCTAAAATAGGATCATATGAGTCCTATTGGAAACATACCTATTTTTGCATTCCATTCTTACCCTTCCATTAAATATGAATTAAAAATAGTCAAAAGCTACAATTAAATGTTTAATTCATAATAAATTCGAAAAAAATTCAAAAATTCGTAGAAAAATAATTAAAAAATTTATAAAATTTTTATAAAATAAAAAATTCAAAAACTTTTTTTTAAAATTTTTTTATTTTTTAAAAAATTAATAAAAAATAGTAAAACTCCATAAAAACAATTTAAAAAAATATGGATGCCTTTCACACCGCCTGTACTACCTCCCATCACCACCACCTCCGGGCGATGAAAAAAATGTCATTTTCCCAGAAAAATGCCATTTTTTTCTGAAAATGCCAAAAAAGTGTCATATTTCTCTTTTCGGATGCCAACATTTTCATTTTTTTCTGCCATAAATATGGCATTCGTAATGAACTTGGCATTTTTCCCCCTGGTGACTGGAGGTGGTGGTGCTGAGGCGGCAGAGGCGGCGGCGATTATGAGCACCATATTTGTGCACGTGTAATTATGGTCTCGTAATAATAATACTCCGTATTACTTTATTATGTACATGCTCTCTTTGTTCATTTTCATATAAATGGAGGTTGCACATTTTCAAATATTATTAAAAGGAATTCTTTTACTAAAAGAATGACATTTTGAATTCCATTGTTTAATAGACATGTACTTTTAAAGAGCGCACCTTTTCATTTATTTGAAGGCTTTACGGTCCTTGTAGTTTTGCATAACGATTTTTAAGAGTTTTTAAAAAAATAAAGAAAAAACTGTCACCAAAGTAATTTAGTTCACTTACTTTGAAATGAGTCCAAAAATCACCATCTTTATAATTTTTCCTTTGTTTTTCTATTTCTTCTTTGTTGAGCCTAGGTTTAGGTTTCCATACTCTCCACGGCCTTGGATCACCTCTGTCTCATATCCACCTACGCAGCCTTTTCTTTTTCAAGTTGAAGCAAAGAAAAAACTTGAAGGAAACAAAGAAAAGATGCAATCTGCTTCTCGGTTCCTGTCCTTTCTTCTTCTTTCTCAGTCTATCCCATCACCACTACCTAACTCCTTCCAATGTCTGTAAAACACTTTCTTTAATTTTATCTCATTCCAATATATTCATTTTGTAAAACAAACTAAAGTGAAGACCTTAAACTGAATCCTAATTAACTCCTTGTCATTGTAAAATATGAAACCAAAGGGAACATATACAGAGAGGAGTACTTCGTATAACAGAAAGAAAAGAAAAAGGGCACAAAACAGTAAAAATGTCATCCGTATTATCCATGTATCATTTAACCGGAAAACAAGTTAAGTACCGTTTAAATAGTTGGTTTGCTCTTTTTGACACTTCAAGTACTTAATTGACTCATTTAGAAATTGTGGACTCACTTGACTTTTGGGTAAAAGTATATGAACTTATTTGACATTTTTTTCAAAAATAAAATATCTTTTTTGAGATGCTACAAAGAGTAGTATCTAAATTATATTTTCAATTAATTGTGCCAAACATACCCTATAAGGTATAAAAAACTGGACCATGTTGAATTCATGTACACATGAAAAATCAAATTTTCAATCTTCTCTTGCCTTGCTAAATACTAACATTTGCAGTGTTAGTATTGAATTGTGTAGACCATTTTATATACAAATCACTTGTTAAGTGTTATTTTAGCAGTAGTTAAAATACACTTGTACATCTTATTTTTATCCTAAAAGTTCTATCTTGTAACCTGATTACTTTTAGGAAAGCATATTTATACGTGACTAGAGTTCTTTTAGGAAAGCATATTTATACGTGACTAAAGTTCTATCTTGTAACCGGTAACCCGATTACTTCTAGGAAAACGTATTTATACATGACTAAAGTTCTATCTTGTAGCCCGATTACTGTAATAAGAGTAGATAGAAAACTTTTAAGAAAGCATATTTATACGTGACTAGAAGTGATATCCGTTCCCCGAGTCATTTTACACCCTTATATTATACTACTTACTATATAATATCCCCATTTTTAACAAGTTCAATAATTGCAAAAGTACTACTACCTCCGTCCCACTAACATTGAGACGGAAGAAGGTGGCACAGTTATTAAGAAAAGTGAGTTTATGTGGTTGATATTGAATTCATAAAGTAAGAATGATTAAGAGTGACACAAACTTTGCCAAATATGGTATGAGATAATCTTAGTGAGATTTCCCTAAAATGTAAAATGGGACAATCTTAGCGGAACAGAGGGAGTATAACATAACGACTCCACAAATAAAAATTGATGTGCTTTCATAGCATTGATGTAAGTTAATATAGTTTGTATTCCAGCGGAGATAAGTTGGAGTACTTTACGCACAATGTAATTCATCTACTCTTTACTACATGGAAGAATGAAGATAAATTCAAATTGACGACTTTCCTGAAAGAGAGAGGGCGGGTGATGATGTAGCTTATGCATAGAAGGCAATTTATTCATTGCATTGATGAGAGACAATGATGATTAAGGGTTACGCTTGCATGCGCTTGCATGCACCCATACATACAATACAATAGATGAATATCACCGACCCAGTCGTCACAAATTACCAAGGAAGACAATATCCACGAAGAGATTGTGAATCCACACCTGATTCTCGCATCAATGCCACTCGACCTGTCCTCGCGACCTGCCAAGCACTAGAAATATCATTTGAGGGTTTATATAACTGAACACCCATAAGAGTGAGTTGTCAGTACAAGCATTATTTGTACAAAATAACCATCCATTTTCATAATGATGCTATTAATTACTATGCCATGATGGTCCAACCAATGTTTTGTGCTCAACTGAAAGATGCAACTAACTGAGGACCATATAGATCATATTCTCAGTTTCACCAAAGGAGTAAACAACAAACCTCGCAAATTCCATAAGGTTCCAGTAGTCGTTGCAATGCTAGTAACTTGTTGAAATCTCCTGTCAACTACACAAGGCACATACAACAGAAATGAACTTCAGTAAGTTGGTCAAGATATCAACATTTTGGTCAACCAATTGCAAGATAGTAGAGCAGTATACTGCACTGCACATTATTAAAGTTGGAAGATACAGGAATAATGAGTGCCGCCAACAAACAGCTTTTGGGGATATAGCATTGATTTTTTGGTGCAATTATTACCTCCAATGTTATGGTGTGATCAGACACATCGACGGCTTTAGCTCGGAAAATACTGGCAATGTCAAGGATATCCCTCCTAGCAGAAGCATTTACTGCGACTTTTATAAGCATCAGTTCCCTCTCCGCAAAGGGCAAACATGTTAGATCCTGAACCTGATCAATCCACCCCGCAGCTTATTGTATTAGCAAGCCCCAAAAAGAAACATAATAACTTAGGTACTTTAAGTGGATTTTGAAGAGAGGCAAGACTCACGCACACATATTAGAGGAGGATGTTAAACAGCAAATTCATCAACATTACATTAACCATGTTTTCCCTACTCTTAAACTTGAGGCCTGAGTTGCATGAGAAAAGGGTACAATACCCATCCCCAGGTATAGCTACAGGTACAGAGTACAAAAGTTGCGTAAAAACTTGGAGTAAGTGTGGGGGGAAAAATAAAGTGTAAAACTCATCCAGTAAAAGCCGGAATTCTACTCTAACTTTAAGTCATGACAAGCCAAACTTGTTGCATGAGTAACAAAAGCAAAACTCAAATTGAACCAAAGAGTAAAACAAAGTCACTTATTGGGCCACCAGCCTACCACTACAGCCTAGGACTTAAGTGTTAAGGCTGGAATGAAAGTTCAATGGAATCATGTTGTAGTAAAAGTAGGGTGTGCAAAACAAAGTGTGAAGACATAATGGGTAGGTGATAGGAATAGGTCCATTAGGCTAATAATGATAAGAACAAGGCCCACTAGGCTATTAATAGAAAGAATAACAAAGAGTGTAGTATTGTAGTATAAAGAGAATAAGGAGGAGGAAGGACAGGTAGGCGGTTGTTGTTTGTTTAGTATTTTCTGGGAAGATTGAGATTATTCTCTCTTTTGGGGGGCTTCGGCTCATTTGGGGGCTTCGGCCATAGCTACTGTCTTCATCAATAAAGTTGCAGTTCTTGTTCTTGATATTTCTTTGTGAATTTTCTGTAAAATTGGTTAGTTCTATCAGTGGTATCAGAGCACGTTACTTCCTGGAGACCGAGAATCTGAATCATGGAGGATATTTTGACACCACAAATGGAAGAGAGTTTTAATAATATAGACCGACAGATGAGGAAGATGCAAGCTAGTATGGAAAGATTTACGCGGGAGATACAAGAAGATATGGTGACGAAGTTGACCGCTATGAAAGCCAGCTTCGCAGATATGCTGAACAGAGTTCCAGATCGTTCGCGAAGTGGATCGCATGCCTCCTCTGCTTCGCATCGCTCTTCGCACAGTTCGCATCGCTCTTCACACAGTTCGCAATCGCGAACTTCATCATCAGCCAGCAGTTCACGACCAAGTCTGACGTGACCGAGAGGAGAAGCTTCCAGTTCTCGGACGTTGTCTCAATCGCTGACATCGTTTCATCTGTCCCAGAGTTCAACGCTATCATATATTTCCAGTTCGCAGGGGTCTTCCCTAGCCGCTTCTCACAGCTTGTCATCGTTGGTTGCTTCGAATCTGCCTGAGCGGGAGGAAAATGGAATTCCTTCGAGAAAAGTGAAAGAGCAATTGTCAATGCAACTGGAGGATCAGGTAAAAATCACAGATAAAACAGAAAGTATTCAAGCACTTGAGTGGACATCCGATATTAGTGTGATGAATGCTAGGCCTGATGTTTTTGTATCTTTAACTGAGGCCAATCCCATAATGGATCAGTCACAACTCTTTCTAGTAAGGACAGGAACTGGTGCATTATCACCTACAACTGTTTCGCTGAAACCAGGGCAGGTTGTTTCTGGAGTTCCTGTTGGTGAAGGTTCTAAGGAGTTGATTGCCAGTATGCCACTATTAGAATTGCATACTGATAAAGAGAAGAAAGCAGTAGTTGCTGCCGGTTATGAAACTATTGCATCTCTCCTGGCTGTTGAACCTATTCAACAACTCTTAGCTATTGGGATCACAGAAGGTAGGCTGAAGGTCGTTGGAGGGAACAATATTGAAAGCCTTATGGTCTGGGAGCTGGAGAACAAACACTTGTCTTCCATATTAAAAGGGTAGTCAAACCTACTCACATTTTATGCCAGCTCACTTTCAAAGGCTGCTTTGCTTGAAGGGACAGTTGCTGAAGATGCAGAGGATCCATTTGCAAGAATTAAAGCAACAACACCATTAAGAAAGCTGCTGTCGATTGAACGCAGCCCTCCAAATGATGAGTTTCGTGAGCAGGCTACCAGGGAAGCAAACATTACAAATTTGAGACCTTACAGTCCCAGGAAATACATAACAGAGGCTACAAATTTAAGGATGGAAGCAACTGAAACTCAACGATTTGAGTTATATCCTGAAGCAAGAGCTATTAACAAATGGAAGATTGAGCATTGGGTGATTAGTAAAACCCAGCTCCAGCATAAACAAAGCCACCCAAGGGGTAATTCTGTTGTGAAGTGCAAGTGGAAAAAGGTGAAAGTAACCAAGTTAAAGAGCCCGGAATCAGTCAAATACTGGGAAGGGAGAGGCACAAAGCAGAAGAAAAAACAGAGAATCTTGGTTGTTTCTTATTACCCACCTTGAGGGCAAGGTGGATGTTTAGGGGGGGGGGGGGGAGTATTGATAGGAATAGGCCCATTAGGCTAATAATGATAAGAACAAGGCCCATTAGGCTATTAATAGAAAGAATAACAAAGAGTGTAGTATTGTAGTATAAATAGAATAAGGAGGGAGAAGGACAGGTAGGCGGTTGTTGTCTGTTTAGTCTTTTCTGGGAAGATTGAGATTATTCTCTCTTTTGGGGGCTTCGGCTCATTTGGGGGCTTCGGCCATAGCTACTGTCTTCATCAATAAAGTTGCAGTTCTTGTTCTTGATATTTCTTTGTGAATTTTCTGTAAAATTGGTTAGTTCTATCAGTAGGATTTTGAAAAGAGAAATAAAATGAAAAGGAGAAAAACAACCTCCAGAACTACATAGTTTTGACTATGCCTCGGGCCCAAGCCATACCCTAGCAGTACTCAGTCGTATCAGAGCCGTACCTGAGTCAGACTCAGTCATCGTACCCAGTTCTTTTTCCAAAGTGGAGGAAGAATGCTTCATAGCTACAGGATATAATAAGATATGCAGGGTATTGACAGAAGAAAGAAATTAAGCTATCTTTTACGCCTCTGTTCCTAAAAAGAGTCGTCTTTCTAATACTGATTTTAGTATTATAAACATAACTATTTTTGGGGGCAAATGGACCATATGATAAAATTAGAAAAAGTGAAAAATGATAAAAGCGCCCCAGCTTATTTGTTCTGATTTATCCAAAAAGTAACCATCAAGATCTACGAAGTCATAACATTAGCTTCAGGAAATTATATCATTTTCTGAGAGCTTACAGAGGTATTACATTTAGCATTCTAAGAGCATCTTCATTCATGCTCCCGAAATAAACAGATTTTTTACCACATCATTGCCACATAGAAAATCTGGAATAATCTTAAAACTTATTAAATCACCTTAGCCGTCATCTTTATTTATCAGATTATTTGTGGGACATACACCAAAACAAACTATATATACACACGTTCACAAATCTACACACCATCACTTCATTGCACCATTCATCAAAATTGTAAAATTAGCCGCAATAAACTATCCTAACCAAAAACGTGTTTAACGCATATGGTATCCCTCTTTCCAATGTATTTATATTTAATTCTTTTTCAGGGATTCACACGAATGAATTAAAAAGTAGACCAAAAAACTTCAAATAATCTAGATTCAATAACTGATACCAGATTTTTTTAGAAAATAATCTTTCCAAATAATCTCATCTTCTCAATCATAATCTCAAAGAAAATTATTCACATAATCCAATTGATCTCTATATAATCTCAACAATGAGAATGCTCCAACAACAAATGGCCTATAACAGAAGATTATATGCACCTCGTGAATATCCACCAACTTGTAGAAGTGATGAACCAGTTTCTTTATAGTTTCATCAGTTCCAGGGATAACTGTGGTAATACGTGAAAGCCCCTCTCTTTCAGCAGGACCAACCGCAAGACTCTGAAAGCAATAATGGAAATGCAATCTTCGAAGTATGTCAAATTTAGCTCAAAAAGAAAGAATACAAACATGTAATAGATCTTAAAATATACAAGTAGTCTTTGGTCCCTCTGCTATATTGACGTCCACTGTAGTTCATTTTCAACAACAGCAACAACAAAAAGAGCTAAGTGGTCAATTTGATAATCAGCAACTAAAAGTAAAAATGAAATTATAATAGATAAACCAAAAGTGATCAGTGGAAAAAAACACCTGAATATTGTAGCCTCTTCGAGATATGACCCCAGTGACAAGATTGAGTACTCCAGGCGAATCATTAACGAGCATACATAATGTGTGTGAACGAATCCCACTTGGCTACAGCAGCAACCAGACGAAGTTATGACATGGAATCCAAACCCAATGTAATTGGTAGCTAGTACTTGATATTGAACTGGCTATACTTTGACAGATAGCTTCCAGGTAGATTTAGAAATTTAGAAAGTAAGCATTTTGTGATGCGAATTTAATGTTTAAAATAAAAAATGGCTGAAAGGAATTATTTATTTCCTCTTTGCCTGTTGCCTCTTTTGTGATAAGGACTGGGTGTTATTAATATTTTTATTAAAATGTTTTCATCCCCTTACCCCACCGTAGGTGGGAGCCTTTGCGGCACTGGGGTAATGATGATAATATACAATATTAAAATGTTTTCATCAAATAATTCTTACGTCTTCATCATATAGAACTCCCCAGTGGGCATCAAGAACCTGATTCACATAGAAGTCATCATTGGATTCCACTGGATAGACGTCACCCTTCACTCAAAAAAGACTCAGTCAACACCATTATAGGCTTATAGCATGGAAGAGACATTGCATAAAATTTAAATTGGAATTATGTGTAGGAAATAATGGTAGCAAGTAAATAGATATTACTATATTAAAATGTGGCAATTTGAGTAACATTGGGAAATGTTTGAATGCATTACAGCTACCATTAAATTCCGATGTATCTGAAATAGCTTCCTTTCTCAAACAATTATGTCATTCAATGCAAAAGTGAACAATCCGATTGAACTGACGTGTTGCACTCAAAATGAACAAAGCATATTTGGATTAAGAACTTGAGCAGAAGGTCCTTAAGAGCCTAACAGCGGTTACAGACTAGGGCAGCGGTTTCTTCCGTTGATTATCAACTTTTCTGCTTTCATCAATTAAATAAAACTAAAACCGCGGCCAACAGCCAGCCCAAGAAGGTGGGCTCAATCCCCGCCTTCAGTAAACCAACAGGGGCCTCGGCCTCTCATCCTCCAAGTCGAGCCGTTGCTCCCTATCGACTCCATCCTCCTTCGAAACAACAACGTCTTCAAGGTTGAAATCCGGAAACTGCCTCACAAAGCTCTCCTTGCTCACCCAAGTAGCAACATCACTGGATTGCCCCACCCACTTGACCAACAACTCTTCCACAGCCACCCCCGTTCACACAATTGATTGGGCAGCCCAATTGATGAAAGCACAAAAACTAACAGAAGGAACCGTTGTCCAAAGTCACCAAGCTGAAATCCAATATTACTAATTTGATAAGCCAAAAGTAAACCCTAATTAGGGATTTAAATACCCTTCTAATAACTGACTACAAAAAAAACTTAATCAACCCAAAACAGAATACATAACTGAAAAAATATAAAAAGGTAAAATAAAACGGCGGCCAACCGCCAGCCGGCGAAGGTGGGCTGAAGCCCGTCCCCGCCTTATGGGCCTCGGCCTTTCCTCCTCCAAGTCAAGCCGCTGCTCCCTATCAACTCCATCCTCCTTCGAAACAACATTGGCCTCAAAGTTGAAATCCAGAAACTAGCTTACATAGTAGCATCATCACTGGATTGCCCCACCCACTTGACCAACAATTCTTCCATAGTCACCCCATTCTCACATCTTGTTCACCAAGCCAAACACTCGTCAGGCTCAAACACCAGCCCCATAGGCAGTTCAAAACTCTACGGCAGCTCACTCTCTACCTGATGAGCGTCCACCACCCGCCACAGTTGTGATTTATGAAACGCGAGGTGTATGCAGCTGGTGGGAGGCAAAGTCATCTGGTAGGCCGTCAGAACCACTCGTACCTCAACCAAAAATAGCCCATAAAACTTGGGTAATATCTTATGGTAAGGTTGACGAAACACCGTAGAGTATTGATGAGGCCTAACCTTCAAAAACACCTTATCCCCAACTTGAAAATTCACCTCCCGACGACGTTTATTAACCTGTGTAATCATACTCTGTTGTGGCTTCGCCAAATTATCCTATAAACAAACCATCAAGGCATCCCAAAAGCCCAAAACATCTGCCACGGCAGCCACTTTACTCTCGCCAGGCAGAAACTGCCGAATGGTGGGTGGCGGCTGCCCGTACTCAACTTCAAATGGGGAAACCCGGGCTGCCGTCTGAAATGCAGTATTATACCAATATTCAGCCCATGGAAGCCACCTAGACCACTGTTTCAGTTGCTCAAAAGTATAACAACGCAAGTTTCCAACACACGATTCAACACATCCGTTTGACCATTTGTTTGCGGATGATAAGCAGAGCTAAATTTCAATTGTGTTCCCGAAAGTGCGAACAATTCTTTCCTTCCAAAATGCACTGACAAACAAGGAATTCCGATCACTAATAATAGATCATGAAATGCCATGCAACCGGACTACTTTTTAGAAAGCGTGTCAGCTATCGAACACGCTGTGATAAGCGTCTTAAGTGCTATGAAATCCCATACTTGGACAAACGGTCCACCACCACCAAAATTGATGTGTACCCCTTTGACTTTGGCGAGCAAGTAATGAAACCCATCGAGATATCTTCCCAAATCAGGTCGGGAATGAGTAATGGCTGCAGCAATACAGCAGGAAACATTGCTTTACTTGGCCTTTTGACAAACCAAGCACTGGTCAACATCACCCTACACCTGACTGAACATTCCCTTGTTGGAGTGTCATGAAATTCCTCCAACATGCGAGGAATCCACTTAGAATCAGAAGCCACCACTGAGCGGCCTTTAAAGAACAAACGGCTCCCCAACAATTCATAACCTGGCTTACAAGTCGGATTTGCTACCAATGCTTGAACAATTCCTTGCAAAATTTTGTCCTGTTTATGCTCCTCCACATCAGCCAATCACAACCACTCAGGCCCACTAACAACAGCCCATTTGGTCTCCTCTCTTCTCGATAGGGCGTTCGCCGCCAAGATTGGACCATTGAACCTTGAGCTAGTGCCTTCACCAGTTTGACTGATCCAATTTTAAAATAAAGCATTAACATTCCCTTACCCTCTCTCTCGTCAGATCAAGAGAAACCCTTAACTGACATCACATCACAAAAATAGGTTCAGCTTAAGTGGATATGACTAGTTGGATAGTCATTATATATAATTACATAACAACATACTCCAAGATCATACCAGTTTCAAAGTTTTTGAATTAACAAGCCTGAACAGTGACGAAATGATTGCTTAAAAGATGCTTTATTTGGTATCCATGCATGGAGACAAGACTAAAATCGAAAAGGAAGCTTGAAATTACTTACACCGGAACTGTTATTCACTTTGTTGTTAATGGTTGGTTTGTTGTGCTTTTGAGTTGCAACACCATTTGTTGTTTGCTCAAGATCAGGATAAGACGCTGCAGAAAACCTCCAAAAAGGAGCTGTCTCGCCCATCTTTTCACGTCTCAAAGCAATCTGTATTTGCAATGGTAGAGGAACAATACATGTCTTCCATTTTAGTTTTGCTAAGAGAAACTTTGTACACTTACCACAGTTATCATCAATTCGCTTTAAGATGAAAATTTCACAATTGACTTAGAGAACGTCTAGGAAGGAATTTATTGTCTGTTCGGTAGCCACTTTTTACGGCGTATCTGGCACATTTCTTAGCAAATACAATTACTGATTTATTTTAATTACAGGCACAGAATTAGTTGATAATGAAAAAGTAAGGATGTAGGTGCATTTTTGCTAAATCTGATCATTAGTCTTTTTCATGTATTTTCTTATTTTATTAATGAAGTGTATCTTTTTCATAATTCATCAAATTCTGCGACTTCTTGCAAATTCATCCTTTTCCAAACAGGCCCTTATGAAGTTTTCCTTAACAAAAATCATCTACCATCTGGTCAATCTCCGATTATTTGGAAAGCTTAATTGGATGTGCAGTACTGACAGTATTATCACCGAACTTAGAGCAATTTACTAAAGGTAAATTTTGTTATGAGCATGCCACAAATGCCTAGGTGTATTCCATACCATATATGTACAGACTTAGCCACTTGAAAGTTAGAAAATGAACCTTTCCCGTTCTAGCAAGCTCCTTAATTCCAAACTTATTTATATTTCTCAAAACAGCAGCCATCTTTCCTGGGTCACCAGTTACCTGTGTCGATACGACAAGAAGTCAAGAATCAATCATTTCTTGTCTTGTTTAAAGCAACACAAATATGTCATATTTCGTAAGGATATCAAAGAAGGAGCAACACAAATATGTCAATAAGACTAGTCTTGTATACCAAGACGCCTTTTGCTTTATTCGACTTTATTTGGCTGGACTTATCTTTTAATCTTGAGAAAATTGTCATTGCTAAGACAAAAACATTGGCTTTTTCCAAAAATAGGAGTTAATGTTTGGTTTTCCCTAAATAGGAATAACCATTCCATTTTTACCCCCAATTGAAATAATTAATTAATTAACCCAATTAATTGCCCCCCTAGTTCGCTTGCACAACCAAGGCAGCCCGTTGGTGGCGGCAGCGACAGCAGCGGATTCCGGCGGCGGCGAACTCCGCCGCCAGCGTGTGTGCTGGGCAGCAGTGGTAAAACCTATGAGGGTGTTTTGGTCCAATCATAAATAAAAAATCCTATTTAAGGATTTATAAACTAGGTGGTCCTATTTTGGGAAAGAAGCTATGTTATAATTTTATCAAGGTAAATCTCCCTTTAATCTTTAGCCCATGTCATACGGAGTAAGGGTTTCTTACTGTACACTTTTTATTTACAGCTGGAATCCATCTAATATTTCTTTCCATCCCTTTGAATAAATGTCTGCTACACTTGCATTATTCTACAAGTTATCAACTTTGTGGAAATATAAATTGAACATTTATTGTAAATAAATAATTAAATTGTCAGATATTTTCTCGTCTAGTTTATCCTTTTACTTTGTTTTATATTTTTAATTTTTAAAATCTTATTTAATTTATAATATATTATTTCATTATATATGTATTTTATAATAATATTATATATGAAGTGACTTGGCGCGTAGTTGTTGCCTAGGCGGGCGCCTGGACACCTAGGCAATAAGGCGGTCCCTTGGCGCCACGCCTCGCCTAGCCGACGTGACAAGTATGGTATGAAGCTTGTGAGAATTTTTCTTACAGATATTTACTATTTAAGCAAGATTTTTTCCCAAGTAATCTTAATTATCCTTGAAACTGACAAGATCACATTCCTAACGGAAACAATACATGTAACATACACAGAACCACAACAAACAACAAACATCGCATTCTATTAACAATCAGGATTTTAGGTATAGTCCGACCAAAATATCACATAAGATCAAAGATAGCAGGTTGCATGTAGACATCTAGTCAATACAATCATACAAATGACTGCAGTGTAGCTACTTCAAATTGGTCAGTTTAGTGAAAGCAAATCCAGAAATCATTAATGTATTCTCTAAATAATTCAAGTCAACTCCAATCAGATCTGCTTTCATAATATTCCTATCATGCAAATGGCAGTCTTGGCATTTTGATATGATATGCACTTTTGATTTACAATGATAAATAAAACCATACCAGATTCAATTAACATAAAGTCTATGTTTCTATTGGATGCTCATTACTTTGTAATGTATGAGTACATTAAAATATGCTGAATATGTATATATGTATCGCAATTAAAATATCATATGAATCAACAGCAAAGAATGAAAAGAGTAAGACTCAGCGGTTCTAAATTACATAAATAACATGAAAATTCAAGAAAAGAATCACCTCTATGGTCACAAAGTGCTCTGATATATCCACCACTTTCGCTCGAAAGATATCTGCCAACCACATGATCTGAATATAAAAATCAAACATGAAGAATCATATATTAGACTCGTAAGTCGTAAGAGACTAAGAGATTAATATATGGAATGACAGGGGAAAGCCTCCTCATTGTTCAAAAAGCTTTTAACCTCCAGCTCTCACTAACTTTTATTAAAATGGAATATTAAAAACATGAATAAAACTCAGGCAACAGATCGCAGAATAACAGATGTATCTTGTGCCTGCAATTTCCATTGTCTTATTATTGGCCCTTAATTAATTATTCCTTTCATTTAAGAGTGGAGGTTTCCACCATAATGATCCAATAAAAAGGATGAAGGATATGTGTAAACAATTGTTTATTTTCTTCACATTGAAGTCCATTAAATTTTAGAAAGAAGACCTAATTATATGACAGAAACTGATGAAAGTCATTATATACTTCTGCTTTTGTGCTCAGCTCTGCATTTAGCTTTATGAGCATCAATTCTCGTTCTACTTGAGGCTCCCTTGATAAATCATCCACCTGCCAAAAAAGGAATACAGAAAAAAATGATTGTGTAGAATGGAGCAAAAACTGGGGTATTAGGGTTGATAGACACAAACATAAGTTTGTAAAACAAATAAGCATTCAGGTTTCAATGATTGAGCTCAAATAAAGGGACAGCCCGGTGCACATTGGCGTTCCAGCAAGGCGAGGGTCCCACGGTCCCACCACAAGGGTGTATAAGCGGCAAGCCTTCCCCTTGTCATTTTGACAAGAAGCCGGTCCCGAGACTTGAACTTGACCTCTCAGTCACACAGCAACACCGTAACCGGTGCGCCAAGGCTTCCCTTCAATGATTGAACACCAATAATATAACATATTGTATGTCCAGACACTTGATCAGGATAAGTAACAATTACGGGAAATCGAGATATTCATAAGACCAATCTAGAAATAAAAAATCCCGTTGCCATGCTTGCAATGGAAACAGTTCAAAACATAACTAGGTATCACTTGGTAGTAACAGCAAAACTGCCTTTATAAAAGGACAAAAACACACAAAACTTCATATGCTAAGGGGAAAACTAAACAGCTGCCTAGCTAACTATGAACATGATGCGTAGACTGATCTGAAATTGGTGTTCATCCCCTAGACTCACATTTACTTTATCATTAACGAAGTTGAGGAAAAAATCCAGATCAAGGAGTCAAACTTGCATCTGATATTCATAACAATATTTAGTCTTCTAGCGGGTGATGTTAGAGAAATGGGAGCTAATTTTATTCATATTAGCTTTTCTCATATTAGGCGATATGTGAATCGCGTTTCTCGTGAGTTAGCTAGAGTAGCCGGATCTTTGTCTGATTGCCGGGCTTGGTTTCATTCTCCTCCTTCATGTATCTCTCATTTATTGGACTTTGATTTGATTAATACATAGTTGATTGTTATTCAAAAAAAACTTTTTGCCATAGATTGAAAAATGGAAAATCAAAACCCACAATCTAAAAGTTGAAGGTTAATGCAAGCATGCAATGTACATGGTTGCCTTCACATCCGAGTAAGCTTCAAAGTTCAAACCCATAACCTTCAATTTCACATTCATGTGCATTGCATAATAGCAATGGCATATAGCTTCTATCTAATACACATTTAAGCGAACTGATTGGTTGTAAGTTATTATTGTATTCCATCATTCAAATATATTTATAACTAGATATACACACAGTATTTCATATTATGTGACAAACTTTATAAGAATGTACATATATATTAAGGCATGTCATGGAGTTCTGATTCCCTATAAATTGACCCAGTGACACAGTTCAATTAGTGACTAACCGGTTTGACCATTGATCAAGTCAACAACCAGTCCGGGTTTTAAATACTCGTTATATGTCTACTCTGCAGCATCTTATGCTTGAGTCTGCGAGTTTGATACAAGTTCCACACCATGCGAGCTCCAGACTTTAGTGGCTATGACTTATACGACAACCATTATGGAACTCATAGGTGGGAAATGGGACTGAAACAACAGTCGATAGTAGAAGTTAAGGAAACAAATAACCTTCATGACATTCACAAGCTTGTTAAGTTGCTCTACAACTTGTTGCAAAACCTTGTCACTTCCAGAGACAACGATGGTAAAAAGAGCCTTATCTGTGTTCAACCCTACAGCAAGAGACTCAATGTTGTAGCCTCTCCGGGCAAAAACTCCAGCTATTCTGTTAATTATTCCACTTTCATCCCCAACGAACACTGAAATTGTATGACGCTTTGATCTGAGATAAAGTAAGTTAGAATTGCCGCCATATATATGAATACATATATAAACACATATACCATCTCAATCTAGAGAAAGTGGGCATCTTTTCTAGATTATCACATCATGAGAACAGCTCTAAAATACTCCAAATTGAAAATATCATTTCCTACTTTAAAAAGGTATACATACTTTTTCAATATTTGTAGTCCGAGATAATACATTAGCCCCCCTAGTAACTTTGACCCAAGGTAGCACAACTAAGAGGCCGTTTGGGAAGGGTCATTTGGCTAAAATGGGAGAGGAAAAGCACTGGGTAACATCCATTTCAAGCAACAACAAAAACTGAATAAAAAGCTACTTAATGCTTATTACGTTTACTCATTATAAGGAACATGATCCCATAATGACTACCAAATGGAATGTATTAAATTAGTTGAGGACACAATTTGGGAACTGGTAGATTATGATTCTGATATATTCTTGGAGATGTAACAGAAGCTTGGGCAGGTTCAGAAATTGAGAGAAGCAAGCCAAAAGGGTAAGGGGCGTTAAAAAAACAGCAGCACGTGATTTCTTCCGATTTCAGATCAAAAGCTCAGCTAATTACAGTATGAGGCATTAGCATAGAACACTTTACCTAGACACAGTAGCTGGTGGAGGAGAAATGGAGATAACTGCATTGGTGGCATCATGTCCGGTAGAACTTGCAACAAATGGCGCCAAACGTGCTGAATTTGGTCGGAATCCCCGCATTGGCACTGGTCGGCTGGGCGGAGGTGCAGGTAGAAGGCGGCTCTTCCTCACGCCTGGATACAGAGACACCGCCACCGCGACCATAGTGGTTGCTCCGCTGTTGTCAAGCTCGACTCAAGTAGCAATAGGTGTGGCGGCGGAAGTCCAAAACGTGGAACACATAAAGTATCGGGAAATGTGATTAAAAAGGACAATCCGGTAGAAACAAAAGCAAGCAGGAGGGGTCGACACGCGTCACTGTTTTTGTTTTGTTGCTTGATACTCCGTTCCGTACTAATTAATTACAGCAACTCAAACTAAATCAATCATAAAGTAGGTAAGAATTTGGTCGCCGCTATTTATGTTGTCTATTTAGAAGCATGTTTTTACTTGGACTTTAATTCGTCCCAGACCAGATCAGATCAGATCAGATCAAACCAGACCAGACCAGTTCAGATCAGACCAGTTCAGACCAGACCAAACCAGACCAGACTTGGATAGTTATAAAAATACAAAGAAACCAGACCAGACCATTTCAGACCAGACCAGACCAGACCAGCAAATTACAGTCCAAGTAAAAATATCTTTATTCTTAAAGAATTGTCTGTGTGCATAAACAAAATAAGGAAGTGAGTACAAAAGTGAGTACAAAACAAATTTTTTGATCGCGGAATAATAGTTTAAGTGTACTGCTCGCAATCCACACCATGCATTTTGCCAGTTTCTCGCGCACCAAATTAAAAAGGGCAATGTTGGTTATGCTTTTTAAAAATGGTTTTTTTAATCAAAAATGCTATAGGTATCCCAACCTTTACCCCAATTTGTACCCCATATAAAACTCATTCCAAAAATTTACCCCCACTCCTTCATCTCCCCTACCCCTCATCTTCCTTTCACCCTCATCTCACTTTCTCCTTCCCACTCGTTCTGGCACATTCACAAACAAAAAGAAATCAGAAAAGAGGATTTCACACGGAGCAACCGTCACTCTCATGACGTGGCATCTGCTGAAGATCGTCGCCAGCAGGAGCGCCGACAGACGCTGTTAGAAGTTGCTCTGCCGCCTCGCCGGCCGCATCTTGTCTCTCCACAATATCTGGGATAGATCTGCTGCTCAGACGGATGAAGAGCCCACTCTGCTTCGTAACGACACGGCGGTAGTTTCCGACGCCGTCACCAAACTCGCCGTCAGGGAAGACAAGATCTGTTGCTCTTTGCCATGGCGGTGATTGTTGGGGTCGATACTTATTGTGCCTTCGAGCTCGAGCCCGACGTGCGCTGGACCAAGTGCTCTCTGCGCCAGCAAACCTGAAAAGAAAAGAGTTGTCTGACATTGAATTTAATTTGTCTGTAATGTGAAATAAATTCTTTAAAATTGATTTGTAGTTGTCTGTATGTGAAAAGCGTTGTCTGGCATTCCATTCGAGTTGCCTGTAATGTGAAAATAGTTGTCTGTCTGGTGAAATTGTGAAGTACTTGTGTATATTTAGACTACTTTGTGATGATATTGAGATGTTTGTCATGGTTTTTTGAATATTATGTAATTGGTTTGGAGTTGTCTATCAATTTATTTTGAATTGTTTAAAATTTGTTTATAGTTGTCTGTCATGTGAAAGTAATTGTCTAGCAAGGTATTTTAGTTGTCTGCCACGTTAAATCCAATTGTTTAAAATTGGTTTGTAGTTATCTGTCATGTGAAAGTAGTTGTCCGGCAAGACATTTGAGTTGTCTATCAATTTATTTTAAATTGTTGAAAATAGTTTTGTAGTTGTCTGCCAGGTAAAATTAGTTGTCTGGCAGCCCATTTGAATTGTCTTGCACGTCATTTGGAATTCTTTAAAATTGGGTTGTAGTTTTCAGTCAAAATTTTTTAAAGTTTTCTGGCAACCCATACGGTGGTGACAGAGGTAATATGCCATCTGGGGAAGAAGAGGACGATGGTCTGATCATTGAAGTATTGAAAGACTTCAATGACTTGGAGTTGTCTGTCAATTTATTTTGAATTGTTTAAAATTTGTTTATAATTGTCTGTCATGTGAAAGTAGTTGTTTGGCAAGGCATTGATGAGTTTAGTAAACCTATATCTTCTAGTACATTTTGATGAGTTTAGTAATTGTTAAAGTGTTCGAAAATATGATTGTATTTGTTAATGTACACCCCATTGAATAGATAAACAACAGAGATAACCAGACAAACATTACTTTCACGCATAAAGACAATAACTTTCAACATTGAACATGTAACATTGTACAATATTCAACACATTTTCCCAATTGTATATGAAAAAATTACATGTTCAAAAAATCACAAGTTCAAAACGGACACATTTTCCAACACTATACTTCACCATTCTTCAAGACTAGTGCATATAATCTCTTGCAAAAGAAGTCACATGGTATCATTTTTGTAAATGAAGTGTTCGCTCGGAACTGTTTTTCAGCCTTGCATTTTAAGTCATTCTTCAGCTTGAAGTGAATACCTACGATTAATACATAACACGTAGTCAGAACACATATTTGGCACAAATAACATATGTGGGGCATAGTCAATTTGTCTGTAAGAGACAACTATTGTCTGGCACAGCCAACTTTTGTCTGGCTGTAAGACAAAGAGTAGTTAATTGGCCCAGACTACTAATGTCTGGCCCAGACAAAATTTGTCTGACTGTAAGACATAGAGTAGTTAATTGGCACAGACTACTAACGTCTGGCCCAGACAAAATTTGTCTGGCTGTAAGACAAAGAGTAGTTAATTGGCCCAGACTACTAATGTCTGGCCCAGACAAAATTTGTCTGGTTGTAAGACAGAGATTAATTAATTGGCCCAGATTTTAAGACAAAACTGTGTTCACTTTAAGCTACACAGACATTGCAGTTCTAAATTGTCTGTCCGCCAAACAAAATACAAACAAATGACAAAAAACAACATACTCTGCTCCAAGTCTTCAACGTCCACACATTCATCATCTTCTTCCCTTGAGGTACAAACAAATGGAAAAAAAGTCTTGAATTTCAACAAAAAATTCATTGAGTAATTTCTACAAACATGTTATGGGCATAAAATGAAATAGAGAAATTACACTAAAATTTTAATTAGGTAACACCTCAAAATCATTACAATGAAACAAAACAATCAATTATTCACTTTTATATCATACATAATATACATAAAATCGAAAAAAGGAAAAAATAAAAATAAAAAACGCACATGAAGAAAAATCATAAATGGAGTACGTAACTCATGATTTGAGAAGGGATGGTTACCTTAGTCACAACTAAATGGGTAGGTCTTGAAAACTTCAAAAATGGAGATGAGAGCTCTTAGCTTGAAATGAAAAGAGGAGAAAAAATGGGGAATGGGGGATGAGAGAATAGAAGGGAACGGATAGGAGAAACAAATGAGGGGATGTGGGATGAGAGATGTTTGGAAGGGGTAAAATAGATGGTAAAAAGGGGGGTATTTATATGAGGTAGGAAATGGGGTAAAGTTGGGGTACCTATAGCAAAATTGTTTTTTAATACTCCCTCCAGCTCTTAAAACTTTGTCAAGTTTGACCGACACGTGAATTAATAAAATAAAAACTGTGTGGTTGAGGTTTGTGCAGAGGAGAGGGGATTAATTGGAATCACAAATTCTTTACTTAAAAGAGAAAGTGACAAAGTTTGTGGAACATCGAAAAAATGAAACTTGGTAAAGTTTTAAGGAACGGATAGAGTAGATTATTGAAAAAGTGATTCATACTAAAACCATCTAATATTTGTAACTAAAAGTTATTTCAATTAAAATGTAAAAGTCGAAGTGTTTGATAGAAAAGTGATTTTAATGTATTATATTATCAAAATACAAAAATAGAGGAATGTTCAGGTCTAAACATTCCCCGTCCTAACACCGCCGTTCAGGAAGGTTTCTGGTCGAATTTTGTAATGAAATTTTTATTGTATGTTTTTCCTCAAGTCTAGTTTCTACATACCAAATTTCAGCTTAAAATTCGATAGGGAAGGCCTTCAAATGATTTTTTGAAGTTGACTGCGTCAAATTATACATAGAAAAACGCAGTCAACTTCAAAAAAACATTTGAAGGCCTTCCCGATCGAATTTTGAATTGAAATGTTTTGTGGATAAACAAGACTTGATGAAGAACATACCATAAAAATTTCATAAAAAAATCGATCGGTAATCTCCCCAAACGGCGGTGTTCGGACGGGGAATGTTTGGACCTCAACATTCCTCTACAAAAATATTCTTATACAATAATACAAATTAAATGGTGAATCTAAAGTGAAGAGTGAGAGCTACTCATCAGCTCATCCACCTCTTCTTTATGTCCATCTGCAAATGGATATCTTCTAGTATTTGTCTCACACGGAAAAGTTATAAAATAATAAAATGTTATATATAACTACAAGAAATTATACATTTTGTGACAAAAAATTGCGTGACACGCAAAAAATTGTCATATTTTGGCAAGTAATAGTCACAAAACTCAAATTCGTCACCGTAATTTGATTTTTTATGACGGTATCATTGTCTGTCACTTTAGTTCTCACTTATCGTCACTAATTGATGTAAAACGTGACGTTAAAATTAAATCTGTCACTTAAACTTTTACCGCCAAAATTGATCTCAATATTTTGGTGGGAAATCTTTTCATGACGTATTAACGACAATTAGTGACTATATTTTTTGTCATCTAAATGCTTAATATAATGACAAAGTCATATTTTGTCATTAATTATCTTAAGGAATAATGACAATATTATGTCGTCATTGTTTCTTCCCTTTCGTGACGACAAATTAAAATACATCATAAATTTACTTTTTAGCGCAAACCTTCATTCTTAAAAACAATACCAATAAATCTATTCACCTTGTCGGGAAAACTAAAGTTGGATCATTTTTAATACTTTATCCGGTATTAAAGTTTATGAAATGTATTAATATCCGGTATCTCTTATGCACCAATATAATGGATAAGTATACTTAGTGATGGAGTATATGGCCCGGGAACCCCCGGCCCACAGACTCCTACTACTCCAGCGAAGGCCCAAAAGGCCCAAAAGGCCCAACAGGCCCAAATCACAGCGCCCAGAGTACCAAGCAGTCCGCACTACGCGCCAGGGGTGCCTTCGGCCCCCTGGCCGAAGGCTCCAAATTCTCACAGAACGGGTTTCTCAAGCAAATTAAGGAACTGGGAGAAAACGGCGAAAACAGTAGCCCTCGGCATTGTGAGCCCTCGGCACCAGGGTGCCATCGGGTGGAAGAGCCCTCGGCTACTGCTCTATAGCCGAAGGCATCTCACTCGACAAGATATCCACCTCACATGCGTACAAATCACCGTACCCCGCATAGACGTCCCATCCAACAGCCGCATTAAATGCGGCCACATGCGGCTGCCAGCGCCAACCAGTTGAGGTGACCCCTCGGCCAATGAGCGCTTGACACGTGTCCCTGCCCCGGCATTTATTGCTACTATAAATAGCACCCCATTTCCTCATTTGTAACCACGCTGAAAACGGCATTCATACTGAATACACTCTCTCTCTACTTTTACTTACTTGCTCTGACTTCTCTCTAAGTTATTCCTCGTAATAACCCTTCGGATATATACCCCCGGGTAGACTATCCATCATTTGGTGCTCTCGTTGAGAGGTCGAACAATCGAGTAAGAAACCCTCCCCCTCGACCAAACACAAAACACTAGCCCTCTATCAAAATGGTGAGGACAACACGTGCCAACTCAAAGAACGTAGAAGACAAGAACCTGGCCCTCGGCGACGTCAACGCCCCCGAAGCCTCTCACAGGGCTCCCGAGGGCGGTGTCATCGCTGGGCTGGAACAGGCGGCTGTCGACCTACGCCTTCAGATCCAACAAAATGCCCCTGATGCCCGCCTCGGCATCGAGGCCAAGAAGAAAAACCGGAGCGATGACCAAGTCAGCCCTCCGGTTCTCACCATCGACGTGCAATCGGCGCTCTCCGCCTTCATCCAGACGCTCACCCAGAACCCGGGTGCCTTCGGCACCCTGGCTCCAGCTCCCCCTCAGATCGGGGAAAATATCATACTTCCCCCTCTTCCACACCCCTTCGGAAATCCCACCCCTCGGGTGAGAAACGACGAAGGGGTGGTGGCCCAGGATACGTCCTCCCAGGAAGTTCAGTCCCGGGACCGCCATAATGACAACAGGGAAAGGCCCCGTACTTCCGCCCTCAACCGGCTCGGAGGAGGGCCAGACCGCCGAGGGGTCCAAGACCGCCTCGGGGGGAAAGCACTCCAAAGGCCCTAGGAAAGCGGGGGATCTGTTTCGAGGGCAGACGAGGAGCGTCCCCCTCGGGACAAAGGCAAGGCACCCCTTCATGCCGATGATGCTCGGCACCAAATCAACCAGGCCCACTCGGCCCGGGTCCGTTCGCAGGGGGCGGAGACCCTCCCGAA